ATTTACTATTTTGAAGAAGGTTAAAATATTATGCTATATTATTTTTAAAATCTTATTTCTGCACTACAGTCTTGTAAAATCTTGTTCACTGATATATTATTTATATTTGAATTATATTTTTTGTGAATCTAATTAAAGACTCTTTGGTTGATGTCATAAATTTTAGTCTAACTTGTAATAAGATAGTAAATTGAAGGACAGTAATGTCTTTTGAACGAAGAAAACGTCACGCTCTTTTCATCTTACAGCATCATCAACCTTAGACCGCTCAATTCTGAAGTCTCACTTGTCCTTATAAATCCTACTGCTCGACTCTTCTGATGTGTTCTGTTCTCTTCTATTTTCTGAACGATGGCGTCTCTCTCACACCTCAACAAACTTCTATGCGTTCCACCGCTCAACTCTTCAGCCTCTGTTTTGCCACCACGCTCGCTTGGGATTTGGACCAAGCCCGTCGGAAGGCCGAGGATGGTCGCCGAATTAGCGACTTCAGCGTGGCGTGTCCGAGCGGTGACGAGCGAAGACGAGTGGGGCACGGAGAAGGAGGAGAAGGAGGAGGCGTACGGCGGTGGCGTGGCGGTGGAGGAGAAAGTGGCGGTGGAGCCGGAGACAGAGAACCTGAAGAAGGCTTTGGTGGGTTCGTTCTACGGCACGAATCGTGGACTGAAGGCAACGAGCGAAACCAGAGCGGAGATCGTGGAATTGATCACTCAGCTTGAGGCCAAGAACCCTACCCCTGCTCCAACCGACGCCTTGACTCTCCTCAACGGAAAATGGATTCTCGCGTAAGCTACCTTCTTCCACCAATTGCGCTTAACCCTAACATGAACTTCGTATAAATAATATGTAGACCAAGAAAAAGCCTTAAGCCTTCTTAATACACGTTTTTTATTTTTTTTATTTCAAAATTACCTTGGGATTGAATGCAACAGGACTGGGTTTCCGTTACCAACTTCGGCTTTTTAGTATAATTTTATCTCCCCTATGTGTCACGCCTTCTGTTCAATTGAATATTATGTTGTCACAATATATTTTAATGTTTTTATTCTTTTCTACTGCTGAAAGCACCTTCATCCAGTTATTCTACAATTGAATGCTCTTACATATTGAACTCAATACATTTCTTGTGTCGATTGCTATCAATCTGCCACTAGCAACATGTCTTATGTTCCTATAAACGTACTAATTGTCATATCTAGAGGTTTTTTGTTTTTATTGTTTGCTGTCATGGTTTGTGTGAATGAAAACTGTAGGAATAAAAAATTAAAACATAATTGTATGGGAACTGAAAAGAATAAGCTTTAATATTGACAGGGACAAAAAAACATGTTTTGAAGTTTTTTAGTTTCTTCTATGGATTGTGTTCTTTCCCATATGTGTAGATGAAAGGTAGAGGTTGTGAACGGGAACTTACCAGCTCATGGTGGACTTTTGTGGTGTTCGCAGGTATACATCCTTTGCAGGTTTATTTCCGTTGTTGTCAAGTGGAACACTTCCGTTGGTCAAGGTGGAGGAAATATCTCAGACTATCGACTCGGAAAATTTCACTGTCCAAAACTCTGTTCAGTTCGCTGGTCCTTTGGCCACCACCTCAATTAGTACAAACGCCAAATTCGATGTCCGAAGTCCAAAACGTGTTCAGGTTTGTGTGGTAAATTGTATTTTGGCACTCGTAGTCTAGTTTGACATCTTGATTTTGACTATTTTTTAGCTCCACAAGTGACGTTTTTCTCATGTTGCATATTGTTTAGATCAAATTTGATGAAGGCATCATTGGCACACCACAGCTTACAGACTCGCTAGAGATACCAGAAAATGTGGAGTTTCTGGGTCAAAAGATTGACCTTACACCTTTCAAAGGCATCTTCACCTCTGTTCAAGACACAGCCTCATCGGTTGCGAAAACAATTTCAAGCCAGCCTCCCTTGAAGATCCCAATTTCCAATAGCAATGCTCAGTCCTGGTTACTCACTACATACCTTGACCAAGAATTGCGTATCTCAAGGGCTGATGGTGGCAGTGTCTTTGTTCTCATCAAAGAAGGAAGCTCTCTTTTAACAATTTAAACAGATTAAACTACTTTACTTCGGATTAATATCCAGTTAATGTTCCTAAATAAGTAAAGGATCTGAGCTATATATACAATGATTATGAATACATATGGAGAACAGAGTTGATGCTGGGACGTGAATTATTGTTTGTTAATGAGACATTTTAAAAGCGAATGGCATCAACCAGCTTCAAGTAACATCATAAAAAGTTTTCTGGTTTTCTTTTGCCTATTTTCTTTTCAGTCATCCGTAATAAAAAATTATTACTTGTTATGAATATTTTAAAATTTACAAGTGTTTACTATTCACAAATATCTTAAAAAAAATATTTTATAAATTTTTAAAATAAAATATAAAAATAATTATAAAAGAAAATATAAAATATAATATAAATTAATTTTAATTAAATTTAATTCAATGAGATATAAATTAATTTTAATTTTAATTTAATTTAATTTAATAAAATATAAATTAAAATGTTATTCGTAGTTACTATGTTTATAAATAATAAATTTTATTATTCACATTATTATCTACAAATAATAAATACTTTTGCATATCAACTATTCAGTGTAAATTTTATTTTTGCGTATTAACTATTCAGTGTAAATTTTATCTAAGAGTACGACTAACATAGATAGTTTTACATGCATAATCTATACACGTCCTCACCGAACTGAATACTTTAATTATTTTGTGAACTGAATACTTTAATTATTTTGTCTTTTATCTTTTATTCAAGGTTAGGTGCGGGAATGAGAACTGAATACTTTAATTCTTTTGTCTTAGGTATTGAGAATAAATTAAATTGGCAACTAATTTTGAAAAAAGGACGAAAGGTAAAAACTTATGCAAAACAAAAATGGGTGTTACCATTTTGAAAGTAGGTGCAAGGAAGATGATTTACACTTTATTTTTGTATATAAATTACATAAAAGATTTAAGATTGTGAACGACAAGAATTTTAATTGAAAAATGAAGAGGTTTATTGTTAATTATAACAAAATAATAATTTTTGTTCTCTTCTCAAATAACTTTATTCATTTCTTACATATATCAAATAAAGAATGTAAAATTTTCTTAGAACAACACAACGTTAAGACATGTTCTTATTAATAAAAATGATAAAGGAATAAGGGTGAAACATAAAAAAAAAAATCTTCAAAGAATAAAGATTCTCAAAAGACTCTAATGACATGTCATGAAAGAAGCAGGGTTAAATATGTTTTTAGTCCTTTAACTATCACGCGATTTTAGGTTTAGTCCCTATTTGAAAGTTTTATTCATTTTAGTCCTTGTAGTTTTAAAACTGTAATAAATAGTCCATAATTTTGGATGGCGTTAACTTTTGTTTGACGTGGCTAATAGCCAGCCCACGTGTTATGCCACCTGACTACTTTTAATTGACGTGACAGTAAAGGTGTGGTGGTCGGTCGGCCTGGTGGGTGGTCGGCCACTCGGTCTGGTGGTCGGCATGGTGGTCTTTGCCCATAACCATTTGGTCTTTTCCCAACACCGTTCGGTCTTTCATATATTGCACTCCACCCGTCACCATAACTGTTCGATCTTTGCCCAACATCGTTTGGTCTTTCATATATTGAACTCCACTTGTCACCATAACCGTTCGGTCTTTGCCCAACACCGTTCGGTCTTTTATATAATCCGCTTCTATTGCATTGTTCGGTTGATTGTAATAGAATCCACCAGGCTAATCGACCACCAAACCGAGTGACCAACCACCCACCAAGCTGACCGACCACCAGATCGAGTGGCCGACCACCCACCAGGCCGACCGACCACCACACCTTTACTACCACGTCAATTAAAATTACTCAGGGAAGGTGGCATCACAGGTGGGCTGACCGTTAGCCACGTCAAACAAAAGTTAACGCCATCCAAAATTAGGGACTATTTATAACAGTTTCAAAACTATGAGAACTAAAATGAACAAAACTTTCGAAGAAGAACTAAACCCAAAATCGCGTGATAGTTTAAGGATTAAAAACATATTTAACTAAAAAGTATGGTAAAATAAGAAATAACAAACTGATATTAAACAAATGTGAAAATAGTTAAATGACATGTCTTTTTTTTGCAGATATTGAATAAAGTACAAAAAAAATTAAACATAATATATATAAGGACATATTTCAAAAACATTGTATTCTTTTATAACACATACAATCATGATTAATGAAAAAGATAGTTAATATTGATTTTCTTACCATTTTAATTATGATTTGTTTGTTGTCTTGAATAAAGTACAAAAAAAATTAAACATAATACATATTTCACAATTGTATTTTTTTATAACACCTACAATCATCATTAATGAAAAAGAGTTAATATTGATTTTCTTACCATTTTAATTATGATTTGTTTGTTGTCTTGAATAAAGTACAAAAAAGTTAAACATAATATATATAAGGACATATTTCACAAACATTGTATTCTTTTATAACACAAAAAATCATGATTAATGAAAAAAATAGTTAAAATTGTTTTGTTACCATTTTAATTATGATTTGTTTCTTGTCTTGAATAAAGTACAAAAAAAATTAAACATAATATATATAAAGACATATTTCACGAACATTGTATTATTTTATAACACCAACAATCATGATTAATGAAAAAAAGAGTTAATATTAATTTTCTTACCATTTTAATTATGATTTGTTTGTTGTCTTGAATAAAGTACAAAAAAAAATTAAACATAATATATAAGAAAATATTTCACAAACATTGTATTCTTTTATAACACCTACCATCATGATTAATGAAAAAAAAGAATATCGATTTTCTTACCATTTTAATTATGATTTGTTTGTTGTTTTGAATACAGTACAAAAAAAATTAAACATAATATATATAAGGACATATTTCACAAACATTGTATTTTTTTATAACACCTACATTCATGATTAATGAAAAAAAGAGAATTAATATTGATTTTCTTACCATTTTAATTATGATTTGTTGTTGTCTCGAATAAAGTACAAAAAAAAATTAAACATAATATATAAGGACATATTTTCCAAACATTTTATTCTTTTATAACAGATGATAAAAAAAATAATTAATATTGATTTTCTTACTATTTTAATTATGATTTGTTTGTTGTCTTATTTATCTTCACTCATACTTATATGTCATTTAAAGTCATTTATTTTGTTTTACTTTTGATTCCTTTTTATCTCATAGTGTTTAACACTAATTTATAGTTATGCTACTTTATTCTTCAATGTTATCTCCTTCTTTTCTATCATTTGTTTTCATGTTATTTACAATCTGTAAGTATGTTTGTGGAACTTATAATTCAACACCTTACCTTTCTACAATTTACATTGGCAAATTCTTTACATTTCATTTGGTTTGTTACTTTTTTTTTTAATTTACATACATTATTTGTAATTAAAGCTTCTCAAATTAAGTAATTTTGCTTAACCTTTATTATGTTNGTTAATTATAACAAAATAATAATTTTTGTTCTCTTCTCAAATAACTTTATTCATTTCTTACATATATCAAATAAAGAATGTAAAATTTTCTTAGAAGAACACAACGTTAAGACATGTTGTTATTAATAAAAATGATAAAGGAATAAGGGTTCAAAGAATAAAGATTCTCAAAAGACTCTAATGACATAGAAGTATGGTTATATATGTTTTTAATCCTTTAACTATCACGTGATTTTAGGTTTAGTCCTTATTCAAAAGTTTTATTCATTTTAGTCTTCGTAGTTTTGAAACTGTTATAAATAGTCCCTAATTTTGGATGACGTTAACTTTTGTTTGACGTGGCTAACGGCCAGCTTACGTGTTATGCCACCTGACTACTTTTAATTGACGTGGCAGTAAATGGGTGGTGGTCGGTCGGCCTGGTGGGTGCTCGACCACTCGATCTGGTGGTCGACATGGTGGTCTTTGCCCATAACTGTTCGATCTTTTCCCAACACGGTTCGGTCTTTCATATATTGCACTCCACTCGTCACCATAACTGTTCGATCTTTGCCCAACACCGTTCGGTCTTTCATATATTGAACTCCACCTGTCACCATAACCGTTCGGTCTTTTATATAATCCGCTTCTATTGCATTGTTTTGTTGATTGTAATAGAACCCACCAGGTCGAGTGGCCGACCACCCATCAGGCTGACCGACCACCAGATCGAGTGGTCGACCACCCACCAGGTCGACCGACTATCACACCTTTACTACCACGTCAATTAAAAGTAGTTAGGGAAGGTAGCATCACACGTGTGCTGACCGTTAACAAAAGTTAACGTCATCCAAAATTAAGGACTATTTATAACAGTTTCAAAACTACGAGGACTAAAATGAACAAAACTTTCTAATAGGGACTAAACTCAACATCGCGTGATAGTTAAAGGACTAAAAATATATTTAACCTAAAAAAGTATGGTAAAATAAGAAATAACAAACTCATATTAAACAAATGTGAAAATAGTTAAATGCATGTCGTTTTTGCAGATATTGAATAAAGTACAAAAAAAATTAAACATAATATATATAAGGACATATTTCAAAAACATTGTATTCTTTTATAACACATACAATCATGATTAATGAAAAAGATAGTTAATATTGATTTTCTTACCATTTTAATTATGATTTGTTTGTTGTCTTGAATACAGTAAAAAAAAATTTAAACATAATACATATTTCACAATTGTATTTTTTTATAACACCTACAATCATCATTAATGAAAAAGAGTTAATATTGATTTTCTTACCATTTTAATTATGATTTGTTTGTTGTCTTGAATAAAATACAAAAAAAATTAAACACAATATATATATAAGAATATATTTCGCAAACATTGTATTCTCTTATAACACCTACAATCATGATTAATGAAAAAAAGAGTTAATATTGATTTTCTTACCATTTTAATTATGATTTGTTTGTTGTCTTGAATAAAGTACAAAAAAGTTAAACATAATATATATAAGGACATATTTCACAAACATTGTATTCTTTTATAACACAAAAAATCATGATTAATGAAAAAAATAGTTAAAATTGTTTTGTTACCATTTTAATTATGATTTGTTTCTTGTCTTGAATAAAGTACAAAAAAAATTAAAC